AAAGAGACTGGTAAGAAATGTAACGAAAAGGGTGGCAAGTTTAGAATCCAAAAAAATTAGAGATAGAAAAAAAAGCTGAACATTTCGTAGTATTCATTATTCTATAATATATATTTTTAAATTCATATGTCGACGTGTTTTCTGAAGCGTTTGACAGAAATAACTTAAGAAAATTAGTGCTCTCGTCACGCAACACCTATGACCTAGATGTTTGGGATAGGCGTGTTATATTGGCGATAAGTTATATTTGAGTGCTCTTGATCCCAACACTTATGGCACTCCCTGGTATGGCTCCCTTTGTCTCGTTTATTGAATTACTTCACACTCAAGGCTGCTATAATCAAGTACTTTGAACACTTGAAAACACAAAAGCTTCTGAATGCGATGACAGAAACTCGTCGCCGTTATTTCTTCGGCTAGCCGTTGATGCTTGGAGTGTATTCGTTGCACACCCATTCCAACTCAAGAAATTTCTTTGTTCTACAAACAATTTTACGAATAGGTGACTTCAAAACAGTGTTTTGAAATCACCCATTCGTGAAACGTTGAGAAATTGCCGACCGTGGAGACCTGGGTACGAATTTATTTAATTTATTGGGGTTTGTTTCTTTATTTTTATTTTTATCTTTATTTATTATTGATTAAGAATAATTTAATCCTTAACTTCTGATAGATTTAAAAGTAACTTTTGATAGATTTGAAATAAGGCAATTTGAACCATGTGTTATTCATTCCCTTGAGCTATATTTCTTCATGTAATGTTTCAAATACGAGTCTCTGTACTCGATAGGGGTTTCAAAATCCGAGTGGAATTTCGAATCCCGAGGTGTAGCCGAGGCATTTGAAATTTTCGCGAGGATTTTAAAGAAATAAAGGATCGAACTCGAGCAGACAATTATTGATGAACTGGAACTGTTTACCCCGAATCTAGAACATAAGGATGTTTTTTGCCTTTGTTTTTGTTTTTGGTAATAACATAAAAAAGTTTAGATTTTATTTATTATCATTATTATTTATTTATTTATTTATTATTTAACCATGTACTTTGAATTCATATCGATATAACGACATAACAGAAACACCATCCAGTCTACGCTATCACTTGATGAAGACTAGCAGTTTGCAGACACTAGTCAAACAAAACGGATAAGTATCAGTATGATATTAAATATTATTTTAATAATTTGCTCAGATTATTTATTACTGTATAATACTACTAATTGTAAGAATGTTGTCATATAGAAATAACAAATATAAATTTATTAGACCACAATTTATTTATTTATTTTGATCTTAAAGCCCCCCTAGATCGATGGAAATAACTGTTGTAGGCGTATGCACAYATTTCAATAAACGCTGTCATCGCCAAAGGCGATAGGAGATACTAGGTCATTCCGACATGAAAATAGTTTCGTTGAATACAAAGAACATTGAAAAAAAAAGTATTGCGTGGTTGATACAAAACATCTATAATAATGAAACATACGTACGATAATATACTTCAACATTGAATCAGTCTCAACACTAAGATCCATGTTCTTGACGAGAATATGAAGCAGAAACACAAGTCCTTCCAGAGTGATTCGTGGATCTTAGATAGACCTATTTCTTATCGCTTTTCGCCAATCGCCTATCGCCTTTGGCTATGACAATGTTTATCGAAATGGGTGTATACCAATTAGGTAATATCAAAAATGTCAGTCTATATGAGTCAGTGAAGTGATTACACCAAGCTATTTTGCTTTAAAAATATCTAATTAAAGCAAAACCTTGTTAAATTAGAGCCCTTATGAGATTCTCGTGAACCGTTAATTTTAGGAAATGAAAAATCCGCACTCTGAAGAAGTATCGAAATCCAAAGTCACGCTTTGCAAGTTTGAGAATACAAATTGACATAGTGGATGATTGTGGATCAAGAGCCATAAAGTAGAGCAGATTTCGTATAACTGTGAAAAAATTCACTGGAAGGACGTGCTGTGCCGTGCCTTGCCCTTAATGATGTCTTCATGTGCAATTATTAAGCCGTGAACTTGATGAACACTACTGATCTCGCTCATCCTTTAGCACATCTTTCTCCCCCAAAGAAAGTTGATTCAAGTCATGTTGTGAGCACTGGTCAATGGTGGGATATACTCTGATGTTTCGCAGACATGCCAAATGCACTAGCCTAAAAATACGTACAGAAATGGATGAATTTTTTTTTTCATGAACCCTAAAAACCCTGGAGCCCTGACGACTGGAAATCTGACCCTAGCTAGCGAAAACCTTCTTGACATTAATTTCAAAGAAGTAGACATTTTTTTAAGGAAGTTATGCAGTCCGTAATATTCCAACCGCTATCTTTTTCATTCCCTTTCGCTTCGTCCGGTTAGGATTGATCATCGCTCTTTCCCCCAGGTTTACCCCCCGCCCCCATAACATAAACTCCCACATCAAAAGAAAAACTGAAAGGAAAGAAAAGCATAACAGTAAGGCTAAAAATTCTTTTACGGGAAGTTGTAGCTTCACGAAAGAAAATAGGTTTAGATTCGCGTACTGAGGTCACTAATCAGAGGGTTTCTGAGAATACTTTCTAATTTTAGTATAATCTTTAGTTTCCCTTACGTAGAACAGAGCGAATAATTAAAAATATATAAAAAGCGGCTTACATTTTCCAGTTAACCTTTTATGGTACGTGCGAACCGAGGAGGACTTTCACGGCAGACATGTTGTAGGGCGGAAACAATCTAATATATTTGCACTAAAAGAATTTTTATTTTTTCGAAGCAGAAAATTCTTTCTTTTGCTCTTCAACATGGCTGCCGTGAAATTCGTCTATACTGTGTAAGCTCGTAAACAGGAAGTGGCTACCAACATAACAGTCTTTAATTCTGGCTCACGTCTTGGCTAACCACAGGGACCCCATCTCGGTTTTCCCTAACAAATACATTTTACTGTATATCGTAACGCGTACATCCAGTACATAAACCAAGCTTGGACAAAGCACATCCTATATTTTGTTGTAGTATTTTCAACGGCATTAAATAATTCATAATCATACAACGTTTTAGCTGGTTTTCGTTATCGCCATATTGACTCTTATCAAACAAGATGGGACGGCCATGTCTCAGTTTTGTTATTGAACGATTGAAAACCACATTTCCATATATAGTCAGCCCAGCTCGGTCGTGCAGCATCTTCTCAATCTCATTTGACTTTTTTCATTTATGCATTAACTAAGAGAGAAAAAAATGGTTAGAGCTTTTACGCTGCAGAAAACTAATTTATGTTGAAAGATTTGAGTTTGTTTTCAGCAATTGCCTTATGTTATTGTTTATTCATTTTATATTAGTTTGTAATAATTGTTGTGTTTGTTTATAGTAAGTTTAGAGGCTTTCTTTCCTTTTCTTGTCTAACTTTTTCTTTGAGTCTTTCAATGTTCCCTTGAAAACATAAATAAACATTTCATTTTTTATCCGTATTCTACTTTCCATGATCCCTTTCACAGTTCCCTGCTCCATCTTGAAAGGTAGCCGTGCCTTTGCATCGCAGCAAGACGAACGGTGAGCTTGCAATGGTTGAGATCTTTTTCAACACCTTGGACAATTATTCGCATGTTTCGCTTCGATGTAAAGGCACGGCTACCTTTCAAGATGGCTCAGGGAACAGGTAAATTCTTTTAGTATGTTCGGAGCACGCGCGGTTTTCATATGAATGAGAAAGGATAAATTCGTAGCCGTGCTTTAGCCGTTCCGTAACTTCAGTAGCCGTACTTACGCGTTGTGATTGGTTAAATTACTGGAAAATCAATGGGAAGTCTTTTCAATGTTACGGCATGAAATAATGTTGTTGTATGTCAGTATCGTATATTTCCCACTCATGAGAAAAACACTCTAATAATTACTTTCGTTATTTGTTTGCTTGCTCATTTATCTAAATGGATTTTCAAGTTTATTTATTTCAATATTCTAATTATAACCAGGTTGTCTTGTTTGCTAACGCGGATGTTCTTATAGTCGCAAGTTTCTCATGTTTTTTATCTTTCATGAAGTCTGTACATTTGTCCTTCGCCAGCTGACGAGCCTCCCGTTCTCTATCAATAAATGAGTATAATTCTTTGACATTGTAGTTTGAAGTTAGAAAACTTTTTAATTTTTTTTGATATAAATTATACCTTGGAAGCAGATCGGAGTCCATTGGTGTGAGGGCAAAATGCCGTACGCCACCACAAAACCGGTCCCAATGACTTCCGGTAGTCTAATCCAATAGAAAACCAGAAACAACACCAACAACCGTCCAATCACACCACTTGACGGAAACCATTTCAATGTCCCGGAATGCAACGTTTTGAATCCGAGCGGATGTTGTGGAAGTTCAAGTATTTGTATGCTAATTAAAAGGAAGTAATTACTGTGATTGCTTGTTTATTTTTATTTAAAAATATATTTCAAAGATGTAGCTAAACATTACATGTTTTGAGTTTTATATTTGTAAAAAAAATACCTCAAGTTTCTCCCGATTCAACTTAGATATTTTCCAGGAAAATCGTTGTCGGCAGAATAAAAGAATACTTTTTATATAATTATTTTTAATTTGCTGTGCTTACTTGTCTCAAAAGCTTAGTTAACGAAAAATAAACAGAAAAGGTAACAGAGATCTGATTTATCGAAAAGTTAGGAGGCGGGATCTGACCGTACAAAAAATTTTTTTTACGTATAGTATGCGAGACAACTTATTTTCTAAACATATAAAAGTATTTATTGCAAAGTTTTACTGGCAGAGTCAACTTCAAGCCTCGAAAAATGATTTTTAAGGTTTGATAAAACAAACATTTCTATACATAAACAAAAAATACATAAGAATTCTAATGTATGGTATCGATCCCTACGTGTGACGCAGTTGATTCAGCACTTCACTAGCGCTGTAACTAATACACCAGCCAAGAATAGACGAGCAAATGATATTCAGGGAAAACCCGTAAGGTAGTTGAAGCTGCATATATAATCGATTGGAATTGACGGTTCGCCAAACACAACTCACTGTCTCTGATTGGTAGCGAAACTACAGTCAGGACCTGTAACGCTGAGTAATATTACAGTATAAAGCAAGGCAGAAGTTCTTGAAAATTTGATAAGGTTTCTTTTGGTTTAAATCAATAGCAGCTATGGATCGAGGTAGAGGAAGAAGGCACTTGATGAAAGAACCGTTACTTCCTAGTGGAACAAATACTTTTATTGAGACCATTGTTGAAGGTTAGAATCTTAAATTTCCTTAATGAAATCTTTTCAATGCTACACAAATTGGCATCCAGTTGAGACCTTATGAATCAAATGGAACCAAGTGTTGTGGTAAATGAGAGGGTTTTTTTTTTCATGAGTAAACTGAACAAACATGGCGGCAACCACGTATTGAAAGAAATTCTACTTTTCTTGTTAGTATTCTTTTTCGTCAAACAACTTTTTTAGTCGCTTTAGTTGACACACGAAGGTTTTGGTTTAGAAATTGTCAAAGATTTAATGCCATTTCTATATGAATTAGACCAATTATTTCCCGTTTTTAATTTTAGCAAAACGTGTGAATTAAAAAAGAAAGTGAAGTCAAATTCCTTCACAAAATTCGCCATTTTTTTGTTCTTTTTCAACTGAAAAAAATTAACGAGCTCCAAATACTACAATTGTAAGGTGATCTCTTAGCATTAACATACATCTTTCACACCAAGGAAGATCTAGATTCAATTTCGAGTCACGAAAATGTTTAACCTTGTGTAACATGGGTCACGTGACTTGCAAGGTCAATTTGTCTAATTGACTCGAAAAGTTTGTCAAGATTTGTTAATGGCAGTTTTAGCAGTGGTTTTTTGGGGAAAAAGTCAGTGTTCAATTGTAAGCAATTTTTATGACCGTTTTGCAATTATTTGTACTAATAGTATTAATTTGTATTTATATCGGGTTTACATGACGATCTCTTTGTTGCACTTGTTCCAAATTGAAATCTTTGTAAAAATCTTTGTCCGTAATTTTTAAAACGATATACAAATGGTTGTTAATCATGACATTCAAAAACAAACAACATATAAGAATGGCAAAAACAATGATAATCATGATGTTTATCCAAAGTACAATGAAATTATAGCATGATCGATGACATTGTCGAATCAGATAATCTTTTCAAATTCCAGAGTTCAAAAACTCCTAAAACTGATTAAAGTATTACAGAAAACTAAAGTTTAAGTAAGTAATGGTTGTAAATAATGTTGAACGTGAGTGAAAAAAAAAACAATGATCGAATGAATGAATAGCAGACGGACGACTTCCTGTCTCAGTGCAACCTGTCTCAGCGACTGGAATGTTTCCTAACAGGTGCGACGTAATCACGAAATCACTCTGTTGACAACGAACATTCATCGACTAAAACAATATATTTGCTAATAAAAAGTACTAAGTTTATAACAATGGTGATTATACCTATATAGGGTGAATTTTTCGTTAGCAGAATCCGAGAAATGTTCTTGAGAAATATTCAGGAGACCGTGCTAAATCAAGTTTTTACTTGAAAAAATGCACAATATCCAGTAGATTTACAGTAAAATTAGTTAATTTGCCTTCTTTTTATTTTGCAGAGAAAATAAATTTCTTTAGAACTTTAAAAACGAAAATTGTCGATTTTTTTTTTTTTTCGGATGTAATTTTGGTAAAAAGTAATATTTGAACAAACAACAACAAATAAATGAAAATGAAACTAGCCCAGTAACGAAAAAAAATTATAAACAGCTTTGCTTTAATTGCTCAGAAGAAAAAAATTACCAAGAATTTTACTTACTATTCAAAAACCTAGTATTTACCTAGATGTATTAGAAGTGTTTACATCGAGTAAAGCTTAGAGTGCATTAAACGATTTACTGTAAAGTACGATCTGTCAGCTGAAAAACTTTTACTTTTCTTTTTTGACCCGTACACACCATGATATTAACCAATCGCAGGTAGAATTAGCTTGATTGGCACTCGTCTAGACAAGCGCTGGCTGAAGGGTCATAATTTTTGGTCAACAACGACTCGCAAACGACTGATGTGACACTTTGTTTTATTGTGTAAAAAGGTCATGGCTTGACTTCCTTCCGTACTAGTGTTCTTGGCCGTCTCAAAATCTCTTCTTTTTGTCCCTTTTTTCCTTTTTTATTGCTGGTATATCCCCATTGAAGCTTAAGCAATTTTGTAGCATCGAAAAATATAAAGAATTGGGTAATTGGATTATTGTTTGACAATTAGCTTTTCGTACAAATTTTAGTGGCGCTTGTCGGTTGTCAACGGAGACACAGGTGTAATGCAAAAAGTAATGAATGTTATAACCAACTAAACTGAAACAAAACTAGTTTTGCATCGTAAAATGGTAAAACTTGCCAATGTTTAATATCAATAGTACATATAGTAATATTATTTTATTGCTAGTTAGTAAACAATGTAACAATTCATTGGAGTGTCGAGTAAATTGTTACAACGTCCTTCACTGTCATTTACAATGAACACCTAAAAAACTTCGTGAAAAATCGGCTATTAACTTGATATAGTTCTTGTCGGTCAGCTTCTTTGCTTGCGTATTTACATCTTACATTTTCCAACCATGCACATTGTAGAAACCATAATAATAATTTGATTGTTTTCTTTATGGAATGTGTCAGCCCAAAGAAGCGAAACCTGCTCAAAGAAAGCTTTCATTTATCGATAGACGTCCGTAACGCTTTTTGGTCAAGTTTGACATCTTGTCATCCAAACCAATCCTTGAAATAACTAAAGGAACTCGGTATTTGAGAAAGAAATACGCAAAAAAATCTCTGGCTTTGCTTTCGAAACTAATGTGGTGTAGATTAGATGACACCACAGCCAATACGGCTTTAGGCTGTTGGACGAAGTAGTAAAGGTCAAATATACGTCAAAACAGAAAAAAGTTTCTCGCAAATCATTGCGACACGGTGTCTGATTGTAACTCCCAATCAAACTCAATGATTTTTGAAGACAACTAACGAAAAAAAATTGTATTCAACGTTATCACTCTTTGTTAATTGGTCTTTGTTTCTTAGTTTTATCTTTACTAACTATTTAACACGAAATGTTTCCTGCTAAAATGTTTATTCATATTGCTACACTTTTGGATATTGTGATTTTGACATTTTGAAATGCTAATATATTTTATTTTATTTAATATATCCCAAATAAACTGATGCGTATTCGGCTTGCTTACTTTATTAACCATTATTATACACAATATGCACTCTTTGACTGGTCTACCTCGTTGTATTATCATTTATCAAATCATTTATTCTCAAATGATCACCGGCCTCGTAGCCGCCATCTTGGAAAAGTTTGTAGTCGCCCAACATGGCGGCCATGTCTACTGTTAATATTTTCTTGGGAATCAAGATTGCAAACCAGCCTTAGCTAGGAAAACTTTTGCCACTAGACACATGATTTAAAATTTTTATTTAATTATGGTTTATTCACATATGTTTACAGAAAGCTTTCCTGATGATTTTGAAAATTACTTTGATGCTGAGAATGGACAATTTGACCCAATTCACACCATCACGACTTCATCCACCCAACACGCTGACTTTACAACCTCCACTTCTTCGGCTTCATCCGGCTCGTTTATCGGTAGCAGTATTTCTGATAACAGTACTTCAGAGCACCCTACGATGCTACAAGCAACACAGTCCTTCCCAAGGAGCGGACGCTATCAGCAGAAATTTCTAGACAGTGGTAGCTCGAACAGCTTCCACAGTTCGGGATCCCTGCACGATTGCGTTACCTTCTCGAACCATGTATCTCAAAACTGTTTACAAGACGAAATCTCAGCGTCTTTTCCGCTGCAAAGCACGGGTCCAGGATTTCTTAGTGATAGGTCGAGCTACAACAACGCCTGTATGGGGTCAGCTGGGGTTTTGTCAGACTTCTCGACTACATCAGAGGAAGACAATGATCCACTTAACATCGAACCAACCATTCCTCTGGACCCGAACTTTGATGTCCACGATTATCTACATAGTCTACAGGTTGAGTTCATCCAAATCAAGGACCGAATCTTTGAGAAACAACAGAGTCGTAAAGACAAGAAAGCGAGGCAAAGGATTGTTGATGGAAAGGTGAAAATTTCAGTTAACTCTGATAAACCGATTGCTGAGCTTAGGGTGTGGGTACGTCGCGAACCACAGGCCGCGACGCTGTGTAATGACAAGAATGGTGATGTTGAACTTAAAAAGCCAACTTTGTTAAGACACACTCATAATCAGGTAAGACAAAATAAAATAATTTATAGAGGCTTTGCACTATCACGTGTCGGCGCCCATGATACAGCTTGGACTACCTGTAGTTAGATGGCAGAACAGTAAAATCCCATTGCTCTCGGGAATTGAATTCTTTCTCACGTAAAACAATTGTATCGTTCCTCCATCTAACATGGCTGCCGTCACGTGATGGTGCAAAGCCTCTATCGTACTAATTACAGTTATTTTATAATATTGATTGCTAAATCGTATGTATCAAATTATTCATATTTCAGTGGCTTTACGTGGTCGACCTAGACTCCGTCTACCAAGGGAAGGAACGACCTGTTTACGAGCTGGCCAAAGTCGAAATGAACGAACGAAATATGTTCGAGATCCTGGCCCAAGTCGTGTTCAAAAATGGTGACGTTAGCGAGAAGATCACTTCCAAGCCGTTTCTCATCCGGACGCTCAAGAGAACACTCCAGGATGATGGTCAGAAAAATAAAAACAAGTGGACTGTACCGAAAAAAATGGCAGCCATGTATTGTGCCACAATGCTTTACGAACCCCAATATGCTAGAGGTCCGAGCCACTTAAGATAGGATCAAATAATACACAAGTTGTAAAGTTTATAGCCTGCGTAGCGGCGCTTTGGGGAAAGGGAAGGGGAAAAGGAAGACGAGGGGGACTGGGGAAGAGGGAAGAAAAGGGCCCCTTTTTCTCCCTCCTCCTCAGTTCCTCTCCAATTTTCATTCCCTCCCTCCTCCCCAAAGCGCTGCTACGCAGGCTATAATGTTTTTCAGCTTCAAATATAAGAAAGTGTTTTGTTATAGCAGATGCAGGTCATCTTAAGATGGTATTAAGGGTTCGCAAAGGATTATGGTCAAAACATGACTGCTATTTTTTGTATGACTGTAAATAACCTTGTTTAGCGTTCTATTTAAGTAGCAATCACTAGTATTCTCGCGCTGTGATTGGTCAAACTGGTATCGACAATGCTGTACCGTGACTTTGCCATTCACCAAATTTTTACAGTCATACAAAACTCTCTAGTGTTCCTAACTCGAGTTGATCTCCAGGGAAAGCAATAGACTACTTCGACGAGATTCGGCGGCCATCTTGAACCATAAGGCATTGTGGGTCATCCAGGGGTCAAAGCCGTTTGTTACAATAATGGCGTCGTTTGATATTTACGGTTCGCAACAAAACATCTTGACAAGAGATGATATAATAAATACACAAAAATTTATCAAATATCGTGGGGCCGTCATTTCAAACTTTTGTTTTTGTTTCGTTTTGCCCCCTGGGCGACACATTAATGCCTTGCATTTCAAGAATGCCATCGCATCCTCGAAATAGTCCATTGCATTCACGAACTCCTAAGTGGTTGACACACTCACTAATTATCACTTTAATATATATTAATGAAAATGAACAATCTAGTCTATATTTTTCTAAATACGAGATTAACTTAACTACTGAACTACTTATATGTTTTTACTATGATACCTACTGTAGTTTAAGAAGCAGTTGTAAAACTAAAATAAATGTATTTAAGAGTTTAATAAAATGTCTTTTAAATTGAACAACTTTTAAAATTTGTCTTCTCGGAAGAAAAAAAATAAGACAACAACAACAACAACAACAACAAAAACAACACACCAAAACACACACACACACACACACAAAAC